ATTTATGGCTTTTAACACTAGACCACATAGTTTTTGTTTTTGCTCCTTTATAATTATTGCCCACAGGAATAAGTAATGTATTATGTTTACGTAAATATGATTGGAAACTCCTCTATTTATGTTCTTTGCATTTTGTTGACAATTTTTCCTTGGAGTGTATTTTAGAAAATGACCATCAGCATTGGGAAATTGGTTTTCTTAAAATGTAGTGGTATTGTTTTGCCAGCATATGTTTGTTTTTTACTGTTTTAAATTATATAAATTCAAGTTTATGGTCAGTTTTACACAGATTTTCTTAAAATGACATTCAGTGTTAGGACTTACCGGTAACTCTATTTCCATTAGTCTTCCAGGACAGCATCACGAGATGGAATCTCCTCCCCCACACACAGGAAACACGTCACTTAAACTCCTTAAAAGACCCTCCTCTCCTTCACTCCCTCAGTCATCACGAGAACCGAAGGCAAGCTGGAAAAAGACAAGGCACATACAGGCAATACCACCACATTACATTAATACTACAAGCATCAATGGGCAGTCTGTCCTGGAAGACTAATGGAAATAGAGTTACCGGTAAGTCCTAACTCTGAATTTCCCATAGCGTCTTCCAGGACAGCATCACGAGAGGATAACCAAGAACTTACCAATTAGGGCGGGACCACAGCTTGTAGTACCTTCCTGCCGAATGCCTGATCTCCTGCAGTACTGAGATCTAGGCGATAATGCTTTGCGAAGGTGGAGAACCTCGACCATGTTGCTGCCTTACAAATCTGTTCCGGTGTAGCACCAGCTCGTTCGGCCCAGGAAGTTGCTAAAGCTCTAGTTGAATGTGCCGTCACCAGAAACGGAGGAAGAACATTTAACACACCATAGGCTTCCACAATGGCCTGCCTCAACCACCTAGCTAAGGAGAACTTAGAAGCCTGCTTCCCTTTGGACTTACCTGAGAAAAGTACAAACAGTGAGTCAGACCTCCGAAATTCCCTGGAAATCCTCAAGTACTGGAGCAAACAACGCCTGACATCTAAACAGTTCAACTCTGATTCCCTGCTACCCACTGGCTTGGGACAGAATATAGGTAATATGATCTCCTGCACCCTGTTGACCCTTGAAGCGACCTTTGGCAGAAAAGCCGGGTCTGTCCAAAGGACAACCCGATCCTCAAAGATAGACAGGAAGGTTCCTTAATGGATAGGGCCTGGAGCTCACTCACCCTACGGGCTGAAGTAATAGCTACCAGAAACACTGTTTTCAAGGTAAGGTTCCTAACCGAGACGTCCTCCAAGGGTTCGAAGGGAACGGCTGTGAGAACCTGCAATACTGTGGACAAATTCCATTGGGGAACCGACCGGACCACCACTGGTCTAAGCCTTTCAAGGGCTTAAAAAAATCTAGCTATAAGCTGATCCTTAGCTAGCAACACCTGCAGAAAAACGCTAAGAGCCGATACCTGAACCCGCAGGGTACTCACTGCCAGTCCCATATCAGCCCCCTGTTGCAGAAAATCTAAAATGGCTGGGACTGCATAATCTCTATGATTACGGAGCCTCCATGAGCTGAACGTTTTCCGTACTTTACCGTATATACGTCTTGTTACTGGTTTACGACTAAACAAAAGCGTATTGATCACACCCATGGACAGACCCTTGGCTCTCAAAATGTCTTCCTCAGATAAAAGGCTGTTAATTTGAATCTGAGGACCTGCGGATGCCGCACTGGTCCCTGCGAGATCAGATCTGGTCTGTCTGGCAGGGTCCAAGGAGAGCGATCTGTGAGCGAAAATAGTAGGGTAAACGAGGCTCTTTCGGCCAGTATGGTGCAATCAATATTAGTTCCATCTCTTCTAACCTGAATTTCTGAAGGGCTCTTGGGATTAGATGCAACGGGGGGAAAGCGTAGCATTCTCCTGAGTGGCAAAAAGATCCACTACAGGAAGACCCCATGCCTCTGATATTAGTGAAAATACTTTCAGGACCCATTCGTCCTGCAGTATCTGATGCCGACTCAGATAGTCTGCCAGGAGGTTGTGGGTACCCTTCAGGTGTACCGCAAACAAGGGCGTCAGATTTACTTCCGCCCAGGAAAATATTCCTTTGGCTAGAAGCTGAAGTGGCCAACTCCTGTGCTCCCTTGTTTGTTCAGATAAACCACCACCGTGATGTTGTCTGACAGAACCAACAGATTGTGTCCCTTCAATGTGTTGTGAAAAAAACTGATCGCATTCGCGACCGCCTTTAATTCTCTGCAATTGGAGGATCTTCTGGACTCTTCTACAGACCAGCGACCCTGCGCAAGACTTTCCCCGACATGAGCTCCCCATCCCCAAGCACTGGCATCTGTGGTCAAGCGTATCGAGGCCTGAAAACTCCACTCCAGACCCGCCTGAAGGTGAGGGTGAATCTTCCACCACCACAGGCTTCTTGTTACTGAGGGTGGGAGGGGAAAACAATTGTCTAACCCTTCCTGCGAGCAATTCCAATTCCTCAGGAAGAACTGTTGCAGAGGTCTCTGGTGGAACCGAGCCCACTTTACCGCCGGTAGGCAAGCGGTCATGAGTCACATGACTGACGCCACCACTCTTAGTGACACCGGCCGACTCAACTGAAGCTGACTGACTGCCGAGGAGACCTTGACCACCTTCTCCCGAGGAAGGAAAATCTTTTGCTGGTTGGAATCTAAGATGTACCCCAGATAAGTAATTACCTGAGAAGGCTCCAGGTTGGACTTTTGTAGATTCAAAATCCATCCCAGCCCCTGAAGTCAACTCCGGGTCACAGCTAAATCCCTCCGAAGCTGCCCCATGGACGGTGCTGACAGGAGGATATCGTCTAAGTAAGGAATGATATTTATCCCTTGTAATCGTAACGGAACCAGGGCCTCACCCAACACCTTCGAAAAAATTTGAGGCGCTGAAGAGAGACCAAATGGCAGAGCCCTGAACTGGAAGTGGTGAACAGTTGGACCCATCCTTACCGCTAGTCTCAGGAACTGCTGGAAAGCTGGGTGTATCGGGATATGGAGATAAGCATCTCTCAGATCCAGAGAGGCCAAGTATGCTCCTGGCTGCAGGATGTTTTTTATAGAAAAGATTGACTCCATCCTGAACCTCTTGTACTTTATGACCACGTTCAGGTGCTTCAAATTTAGTATCAAATCGATACTGGCCAGAGGGTTTCAATACCAAAAAAACATGAGAGTAAAACCCCCTTCGTTCTTCCAGAGCCGGAACTCTGAAATGACTCTCTGGTCCACTAGATCTCCCAGCAAAAGTGACAACGCTCTTGCTTTTTCTTCCTGACACGGGAGGTCCGTGACTAGAAACCTTGTGGGAGGTACACCGCTGAACTCCAGCTTGTAACCCTCCCTGATCAGGCTTAATATGAACTGGTTGGAGGTAATCTTCGACCACTGAGGGAAGAATTCCTCCAATCTTCCTCCCACTGGAAGAAGACAGTCATTGGGGCTTTGGCTGAGGCTGGGAGGGTGTGTTAAACAGAATCCCCCCTCTTCCTCTACCTTTCTGTCCCGTCCAATGCTTCTTGGGTTTGTCCCCTTTATTTTCCTGAGGCCTACCCTTCTGGTTCTGAAAAAATATCCGAAAAGGCGTTTTCTTCTTTTCAGGAAAAGCCTTCTTTTTGTCAGCCGTTCTCTCTAGAATGTTCTCTAACTCTGCCCCAAAAAGCAAGTCACCTGAAAAGGGGAGATTACATAACCTCAGCTTTGAGGTGGCATCTCCCTCCCATGCTTTTAACCACAGGGCCCTGCAGGAAAAGTTAATAAGAGCTGATGATCTGGCAGTCATGCGTACCGATTCTGCTGAGGCGTCTGCGATATAACCTACCGCCCTGAAGAGCATAGGCACTGACTCCAAGAGCTGTGCCCTCTGGGTACCTGCCAGCAGATGTGTTCTAAATTGCGAGAGCCAAAACTCCAAGTTCCTGGCGACGCATGTGGTAGCCAGAGCAGGTTTAAGGTTCATGGAAGAAGAGTCCCATGCTCTTTTCAAAAGAACCTCAATCCTTTTATCCATGGTGTCCCATAAAACTTCCATGTCCTCGAAGGCTAAGTCAGATTTCTTAGAAACCTTAGCTAACGGAGCATCCAGCTTTGGAGATTTATTCCACACCAAGGCTGGATCCTCATCAAAAGGAAACCTCCGCTTGAGATTTCCTGACTTCAGAGGCTTTTTTACAGGCTCAGCCCACTCCTTGAGAATAGTCTCTGACAAAACCTTATGTACCGGGAAGCATTTAGACTTTTTAAGCTGAAAACCCTGATACATAAGGTCGTGCCTGGATAACTGTACTTGCTCTTCCTGGATCTCTAACGTGCTATAGATTGCAGTCAGTAATTCATCCACATCCTCTAAGGATAATTTATACCTGGAAGAGCCAGGTACATAGTCTATGACACTCTCTTCTTCTGATGATGAACCACCATGAGAAGGACCAGGCTCACTAAGATCCTCCTGCTCAGATAGCCGTAAGGATCCTGACCGCCCACCCTGAGTAGAAAAAACAGGAGCAGAAAAAGGCACAAGGGTAGAAGCAGCTGTGGGAACTGGAGCCCGGAACCCCTCTAAAACAGACCGGAAGGAATGAAATGTAGCAGATAACTCTTCCTTAACTGAAGCTAGCAGGTTGCTGCTGGCTGCAGCAGACTCCTCCCTAAGAAGACCATCAATGCACTTCTGACATAGGGCCTTTAACATAACCAGAGCTCAACTTCACCGCACAAACTGCACACTTTTTCTTTGGGGCCACCTTCGTTTTTTCTTTAGCCTGAAAGAAACCAATGAGCCATTTAACTACTGTCACTCACTCAAAAAAGGGTTAGAGTGCCCCTCAACACCAAAGCATCCAACACCAAGGGACCCCAGGTGGAGGACAATAAATTTCAGAGGTAACAGGGAGGTAAGATAGTGCCATACCTGAGCCGTGCTGGTGCTTGGAAGACCGGAATCTGCAGTCACTGCAAGCTGCAAGGGTAAACCAGGATCCATGTCAGCAGAGTCTTTAAAAGAAGCCTGCCAGCGTTTCTTCTCAGTCACTGCTGAGATCCACGCTGTATTTAGCACCGCCCGAGCCCTCCCCTTCCTCCTGTGCCAAAAACGAGGCTTGGAACGCACAAGCCCGGCACCCGGAAATGACGTCACCCGCACCGGAAGTGACGTACGCGGCCACCTGGTCTGGCCATGGAACACTTTCCCGAGGCCCTGAGAACCGGACAGACCCCTCTGAACAGCGGTCCACCGATTCCCCTGGCCTAGCCAAGGGAGTTTCGTCCTCCCGGTCCCGGCCCGCACTGGGCACTGAAAGGGGGAAAGGAAGCCAGCCTCATCTCCTGACAGCGCTAGGAGAATCCCTGGGGCTCACAACAGGTAAGCGAACCTACACCATCTGCCCTACATAGGCAGCCATTAAGGAAAGGAGACTTCCCCGGCAACATCACCACATGGAAGCCCCTCTCAGCATTCTGTGACGTGCTCCCCAGCTTGACTGAGGAAACATAAAAGACTGAGGGAGTGGAGGAGAGGAGGGTCTTTTAAGCAGTTTAAGTGACGTGTTTCCTGTGTGTGCGGGAGGAGATTCCATCTCGTGATGCTGTCCTGGAAGATGCTATAGGAAAATTTGCAATACATTCTGAATTTCTCCCAATTTATAGATCCTGCAGAATATTGTTTGTAGTCGTGGATTGTATAAATTGTCCCTTTTAAATGGTCTGCCTCCAGATACAGGGCATAGCAATGGGCACCTGCTGTGCCCCTTCCTACGCCAATCTGTATCTGGGGGGTGGGAGCGGAAGCTGTTCCACCAGGTGGAGATATCTGGCACATCGGAATTTATTGTCTTGGGCCAGATATATTGATGACATCTTTATGGTATGGACGGGAACCAAAGAACAACTTGATTCATTTATCGAATCTTTGCAAATTAACGACTACAACCTAAAATTCACGATGAATTGTGATCAAAAACTCATTTCCTTCCTAGACGTTTCCATAGGGGTAATGGATGATGGGTCCATTTTCACCAACTTATACAGAAAGGAAACGGTAGGGAACACGATCCTACACGCCTCCAGCGCCCACCCCACACCCCTAAAGAATAGTATCCCCTACAGCCAGTACCTCGGTCTGAGACGGATATGCTCGACGGACGACCTATTCAATGAAGTGGCAGGCAAACTAGGGACCGACTTCTATTGAGGGGCTATAGTAAGAAACTTCTCAAGAGAACATATCAACGAGTCTTGTCCCATAAACGGGAAACACTCATGTACTCCTCAAAAATAAAACACGCAGCTACCCAAAAAAACTCGGTTTATTACACGGTTTTCTAACCAACATACCCAGGTTAATTTTGAAATCCTGTCATCTTCCGATAATAGATGCCAATGTTTACAAAAACATTGGCATCTATTATCGGAAGATGACAGGATTTCAAAATTCGTATGGCCCAAAACCGCAAATCGTCTATAGGCGCTCCAGATCCCTAAAGGACCAGTTAATACATAGTCACTACTTATCCCAAACTGAGATTAATACAAGCAGCAACAAGGGCACTTTCTGCTGCAAAAGATGTAATTTTTGTAAATACTTAAAACAAGGGGCCCATGTCCAACTACCCAATGGGAAGTTATGGTTCCCCAACAACCACATTGATTGTACCACTAAGGGAATCGTCTATCTAATGTTATGCACTTGTGGGGCATTTTACATTGGAAAAACGATCAGATCATTTTCCAAACGAATCCAGGATCACATCTATGTGGCACAGAATGGTAAAATGACCACACCAATCAGTAGACATATCAGCCTCTTCCATAACTTCAATACAGAGGTGTTATCATTCTATGGATTAGAGCATATAGAGCACAGTGTCCGGGGTGGCAACCTAGATAAAAAAAAGTCCTCCAAAAAGAAATGAGATGGATTTACAAATTACACGCCACGAAACCCCCAGGTCTCAACGAAGCCCTAAGCTTCAAACCATTTTTGAATACTTAGACCATACCCATCATTTTTCCTTTCATGGCACTGTGCGGCAAACCCCCCCTGGATACGCTACTGGATTAAAATCATGCTGCTTACCACTTATCCCTGTTTGGTCCACATCATACTGTCTTCATGTCATCACACCCATTACATCATCACTACTTCTGCCTTGCCTCTTGTACCTCTACCTCTTAGTACGTCCGTAGTTTGTCCTACACACTACCTGGTCATCTCAGCACTGTGCGTAAAATGTTTCTTCCTCCCAATGTACGACAGCTTCATCTGCCCGTCATGAGTCTCCAATAAATCCTTGCCTTGAACACTGTGCGGGAAATGTTTTTCCTTCTAGTTCTTGATACTCCTTGCATGTCTCTATCTTTAGTATTGTTTCTATGAATCTTCCGCCTCTAGTAGTGTCTCATTAATATCATCAAATGCCAACTAATGTTAGAGTGATATCATACTACCACTAGACATAACACTAAACATATATGTTGAAGCCTTGACAGCCAACTATAGCAACTAAACATACCAACTACTATTATTTACCTTTGATGTATCCAGCTTTGAAGTCTGATATGATCTATTATCTCTAAATCATGCTTTGTATGACATATTGTATCTTGTCATTATGTTTTCATCCCATTGTTAATAATATTATGTAATTATTATGCTGCTGTCATGTGTTACACATATTTATACTATATGGCTATCAGTCAACTTTGCATGTATATCTTTATGTATTTGTATTTTTTCTTATTTCATTTGTATACTTCTTTGCTGTAATTATATTATTGTATTTATATTCCCCACTGTTATTGCAAAATGTCCTTTTTATTATACTTCAAAACCATCATTGGCTGATTGAGTCTTGAGTCTCCTCCCCCTTCGGTGTGTCCTTTCCGGTACCGGCCCTGGTAACATGCGGGCTTCGATCATCGAATGTTTTTTATCCTTTTTTTTTGGGTCCCCGGGCCCTCCTCCAGGGCTTCCCAGTTTTGCGCGCTTGGTCATTCTCCTTTGAATGACCGGCGACGTCTGACTCCCGGCTCTCTCCACTGACACCTATACTTCACTGACACAGCCGCAGTACCCGCCCACCTTCCCTGATTGGCTGATGGGCGGCTCCCTCGAACATGATCAGGTGACCTTCTACGTCGGACGCCGCTCTATAAGCCCACGCGCGACCGCCGATGTCTTCAGTGCAGGGCTGGTAACGGTCCCACCAACATTGGCGGTCTTACTTGGAGGACCTCTTCCTAATCAGCTGTCCTGGATTTCACCCGATCTCTTCCCTGTGGATATCTCTCCACGCTACTTTTCTAGGTAAGATGAGGCTCCCTAGACCCCTCTCACTCTCCACTATGTCTCTGTTCACAGATGCAGCCTGCATTTCCTCCCTTCAGGTTTCAGGGAATCCTCTGCACCCCCTGGTGGTTATTTCTCTGTTCTCATTGATGATACATCAACTTGTTTATTTCTATATATATTAGGGATGCACCGATACCGATACAAGCATCGGTATCGGCGGCGATACCGAGTATTTGCAGGAGTACTCGTACTCCTGCAAATACTCCGATACATAAAACGAGTACCTGTGCCGCGTCCGCCATCTTCAGGGACCCGAATCCGCCGCACACAGGACCTCCATCGCGTCTTCAATGAAGCAAGATGGCCGCGACCTCCTCTGTCATCTGCTCCATTCTGACCTCTTCTCCCGCTGATTGGCCGATTGGATGATTGACAGGCTTCCTCACCAGTCAGGAGTGGCTGGTGAGGAAGCCTGTCATCATCCAATCGGCCAATCAGCGGGAGAAGAGGTCAGAATGGAGCAGATGACTAGGCTGTGACACGGAGTGGCTGAAGCAGACGGAGAAGACGACACAGCAGGTTAGTACTGCCGCACCTCATGGGGCTGGGCACAAAAATGCTGTTTACCGGCATATATTATTTAAAAAAAAGAAAATAACTATGTAGATATTGCTAACTAAGGCTTGTATCCCCCTAGTGGTCAAAATAGATGAGCACATGTCCAGACTGCAGACCAGAACACAGTGTGGCACAGCTATATCCAATTCTGCATACCTGGCTTTATATTATAAGAAAATGTAATAATAATATAAAGCCAGTTATACAGAATTGGATACAGCTGTGCCACACTATACAGTGTTCTGGACTCTGGACATGTGCTCATCTATTTTCCCCACTATGGGGATACAAGCCTTAGTTAGCAATGGCATGATAAATATTCATTTCATTATTCAATGTCTTTTTTTTAAAATTATAAAATGTTATATTAAAAAAAGACATTGAATAATGAAATGAATATTTATCATGCCATTGCTAACTAAGGCTTGTATCCCCATAGTGGGGAAAATAGATGATCACATGTCCAGACTCCAGAACAGTGTATTATTGTATAGTGTGGCACAGCTGTATCCAATTCTGCATAACTGGCTTTATATTATAAAGTTCTTATAATATAAAGCCAGGTATGCAGAATTGGATATAGCTGTGCCACACTACAGAGTGTTCATGTTCTTCATAATATTAAGAAACTGACCTAAAATCATGATTTTGTATTGCTTTAGAAAAAATGTGACCTGCCCCTTTAAGAAAAAGTATCGGTAATTGGTATCGGCGAGTACTTGAAAAAAGTATTGGTACTCGTACTTGGCCTTAAAAAAGTGGTATCGGTGCATCCCTAATAAATATATCTATATCTATATCTATATCTATATCTATATCCCCTCTGGCCTGAGTTTTAAAACAGTCCTTTGTCTCCACTGCAACTTGAAATCATTAAATATGCTCTGCTGGCCAGTCTCGAGTATCAGACATACATATATACACATTATTGAATTCACTCACTGGGGGTTTGTCAACCACTTCTGAATGCAAACACTTCTTAATTAATTAAAATTTTCAACTTACTTCCACGCACACACCACTATCTCATTTTAGTGTCCAGGCCTCCTTTGATTAGCTATCCATCTTCCTCCAATCTGGGTTCACTGTCTGATTCGATACCACCCAGAACCAAATACCTGGTGACCTCACAACGAAGGTGTAAGACTCATTCATCACATAAATTTAAATTCGGTATGCACACAAATGTTTTGTTTTGAGTGTATTATTTACACTTTATTTTTCATATGACTCCTAGATTAGCTCCCTTTTTTCCTGAAGAAGCGCCTTAGGTGCAAAACGCGTCGAGATTTATCCTACAAGAAAGTATCACCCTTTACAAAATTGTTGCTCCCACCTGAGGTCTAGTAATCCAACTATATCCTCTCTCCTTTGAGTTACACATGATGTCATCTGTATATGTATAGGACTATGATTACCTAGATTAACCTCGGTTGTGGAGCACAAGGGCTGATAGGAGGTTCTTTTTCAATCCCTGATGTTTATATGTTTTATACATGTTTCGATGCATATTCATTGATTTTAGTCAATTGTTCAAATTTATACTTTTACACAATTCCCCAAGACTGTAGTTTATTGGTTGTGTCCCCTTTGGGGCCACTCAAAAACCCCACCTTTCTCTATCCTCCTCTTTTTTTGGTATCAAACTACCAGGGGTTGGCCTCTAAAGGGGAAGGTTCTGTGCATCTCAAAACGTTCTTGCTTCTATCATTTGTAGCCACTGTCAGAATACAATAGCCTCGGAGAGAAAACGTGTAAGTGTATGGCCAGCTTTAGAATTTCTTTTTAATATCACTATTCCAGCATGTTTAGTCCTTACTATTGCTGTATGCTGTCTGATTCACCTCTTTACTATCAGGAGGCAGGGCCAGCACTAGCTTAAGGCAGCATAAGCAGCCACCTCAGGGCATCGGGGTAGGGCGGAAACATTATGCACTTTTGCCAAAATTCCTAGCACCGAACCTGTGTGCAGTGGATTGACGGGTATAGGAGATCTGATTAGACAGCACAGTGTGCAGGGATAAGCCACAATCACTGGACATCTGCTGATCAGATGAAGCACCAGGACCAGGCTGATCGCTGATCACACACACAATGAAGCTCATCAGTAATAATTATGCGTCGCACCTAGCCGCTGACACCACCTCCGGGAACGCACCCCCACCACACTGCTTCTTGCACCCATTATCAGTGGTGGGTGTTACAAGGAGGGTACGGGGGGTGCAGCCCGCACCCGGGTGACACCATTGGAGGGGTGACACCAAAATGACTCAGTCATGAACCGACCGCCTGACAGTATCAGGAGAGAGGAGGGGACCTGGCGGCATACCTTATCCCGCCGGGTGACTGTCTCCTCCTCTCTCTGCCGGTGTCCATCACCAAAATGGCCGCCGGCAGGTATCGGAATACTGCTGTGCGTGCGCGATGACTTCATCACGCACGCGTGTGGTGACGTCATGCGCAGTGACGTCTCGGCGGGGTGACATTCGGTTACCGCTCCTGGTGTCACCCAGCCTCGGGACGCCCCTGCCCCTAATACACTGCCTGCCTCCTCCACCCCCTCCCCGCACAGCACGGCTGGGAGATGTCAGCCGCAGCAGCACCTGTAGCTCAGTGCCAGCACAAAGGGCCTGCAAAGTTTTCCTTGGCAGCAGTGAGCTGCAGGTCCCATGTGTGGAGTGTGTGCACTGAGATCTGTAGGGCTCATCTTCCTATGTGCAATCCACCTGGCTCTGGGGTAGACTTACAATACTTCATGGAATACTTTAGACTGCAGAGGAGCCCTCTTGAGTCCTCACACAGCCCTGAGACCCTGCACAGCCCACCTGAGATCCCCTACAGCCCTCTAGTGACTCCACACAGCTTGCCTGAGATCCCTCATAGCTCCCCTGAGGTCCTTCACAGCCCTCCTGACACACCGCACAGCCCTCCTGACACACCGCACAGCCCTCCTTAGACCCTTCTGAGACCCTGCACAGCCATCCTGAGAAACTGCAAGCCCTCCTGAGACCCTCTGCTGGAGACATCAGACTGGCACCCCAGAGCAGCACTATGTAGCTTCATATTCTGCATTGCTTTATAATGTATTGCTGGGATTTGCAGTCCTCTACAGCTGATGGTATTATGATAATACTATCCGCTATAGAGGACTACAAATCTGAGCAATACATTATACAGCAATGCCAAATGTGAACCGGCTGTAGAGGACTACAAATTCCAGCAATACATTATACAGCAATGCAGAACAATACTATGTGGAGCCGCGCACAGCCACGCAACTTTAAAAAAAAAAACAGCCTGGCAGGAGAAGAACCCCACAATTCAGATAAGTGCAATCTGGGTTGCAATCTGAGGCCTGTAAAATAGTCCAATAATTAATGTAGAAATATGTGCACCCATATATCACTCTACCCATAATGCCACAACACCATTGCGTTCTCCATCGACAAAATTACTTTCCACAGACTCCATCATTATTAGAGAGCATATCCAGAAAAATTTATATCTCACTAAAATGAAGAAACAATCCATGTTTATGCAATGCTAGTTAAATCAATGAGTTTTCAAATTTTTTTATCTGATTAACCGATTAATCGAACTCAATCGGCTAACTAATCGATTTTGAAAATAATCGTTAGCTGCAGCTCTATTTTCAAGCACAAGAACTTTCCCATTTTGCTTGCAATTTTTGTTTTTCTGTACAATTTTTAAACTGGATTTTCAATGTTAGCATCGCTTTTTAACTTGTCATCTCCCTACCCTAGCCCTTCATATTTTATCCTCCAGCAGTGTCTGCTCCCCTATCTTACAACTTTCCCTTCCACTTCCAACCTAGTTTGAATACTCCTCCATATATTTGGGTGCACATCATCTTTAGATTATATGCTGTACCCCAATCAAATGCCAGCCCAGTGGTTTAGAAACCCAACTATCTTTGCAAATATCTGTCTAATCAGTTAGCCAAAGGCTTCTCTTGAGTTTATCACTTTCTTTCAGTGTTGTAACTTACAATAAGGCAACAGGCTTACATGTGCCACACAGGTATTCCCCACAGGTCCATTTGTCTAGCTGTGAATACATGTGAAACTGTGTCCCTCAAACAAAATAATTTCCTTATCACTCATATCCCAGTTCAAATATATGTGGATTATATAGAGAAAAACTAATATTTAATGAACACTTTTTAAACTTCTGTTTTTAACTTTCACTTTGTTAAAATCCCCTGAGTTAACATGCCACAAAAAGTATTTTCTGATTCTTTCAAGTGTACTTGCTTGTTACAATTAATAGCGTGATTCTATATTTATTTCTGCTATCTAAAGGTGATTTTTTTTTTTTTTTTTTTTTTTTTTTTTTTTTTTTTTATTTTTTTATTTTCTTTCAAAAAAAAACTT